GATCTGTTTTGGGCTACTTTGTAATTTGTATCTCAGGTTTGGGCATGTTTAGTGTTTATGATTCAGTCCTTGGGGGAGGTAACATCTCGTGCCTCTTCCTAGGCTGCTTGTATTTCTGATATTTATTTTAATAAAATTACTCTCATTTATAAAAAAGAACTATTCTAAAAATGACGCAAAAACTGACTAATCTTCAACAAAAGGAATAACAGAATATTCCAAGGGGCACAAAAATCAACAAAACATATCTTTGACTGCGTAGCCATTAAAGTCATACATTGGCTGAAAGTAAGTGACTTATATAAAGATTTTTCAGTGGATGATATACAAAGGGGCTGATCAGCAGTGGCAAACTCTTCAACCAGACAGCCTGCCTTTCAGCCTTCTTGGACACCAGCAGCACAACAAAGGGTAAAATTAAATTTTGATGGAAGCTCCATGGGTAATCCAGGACCCTTGGGAGCTGGGGGAGTCTTTAGGGATGGGGAGGGCAGAATGGTGGCATTATACTCTGGTCCCATAGGAGTGGGAGACTCTACGAGAGCTGAAATTTTGGCTCTCCTATAGGGGTTGAGATTTGCCAAGCAATGGGAATTTCAGAACTAGGAGGTGAAAGGATACTCTAAATTGTTAATAGGGTGGCTGCAAACAAAGAAGTTGGGTGTATGGAAGTTTAGACAGCAAATAAGGGAAATAATCTGCTTGGCAAGGGAAGTTGGAGTAACATTCGAATGGGTAAGAAGATTGGCAAACTCTGTGGCAGATAGCTTGGCAAAACAGGGGACGACGCTCAGGGAAAACTTATTTTGGGCTGTACTGTAATTCTTGATGTTATTTGGGGTCAACACTCTTTGTCTGAGTGGTTGACAGTTTAAGATGTATATTTAATATCCTTAATGAAAGTTACCGTTTCCAATAAAAAAAATCCCAAAGGGTTAGGAATCCAAATGTAAGCATCAGGTTAGTTCACTTTGTTTCCAATTATTTTTCTAATGCTTTTGTAATAATGCAACATTTGTAATTTATTTGAAGGTGCTGGCATCTCAAAAGCGGTTAGAAAACAAATACAAAGCTGCAGAACAAGCTTCTGAAGATTGGTAACATTTGGCATGGAAGTCTTTAAATACTTAAAAGAGTCAATTTATGTGCTAATATTCTTTTAGATTTGTTTTATATAAAGGTATCGTAGGGCACAACTTGCTCTTCAGAAAGGAGATGAGGATCTTGCTCGTGAAGCTCTAAAGAGGCGTAAATCTTATGCTGTGAGTACTTATTTTAAAGCTTATCTTGCTTTTGAAACACAGTTAATTTGTAGTGAAAATTTTGATTTAACTTGGTAACATATGGTAGTAGCCTAGTAGGACATTAATATGACACATCATGCTCTATTCTTTTTTCTCTCATTCATGTTTGATAATTGAGTTTATCAAAATGAAAAGAGAGCTAGGATATGAACTCTTCTTTTCTATATTCCCAAAATTTACCCTCCCCCCTGTGGAATAGCAGTCGCCGTAAGGGGATGGAGTCTTTGATGCATAGTTTAAAGGTGCCAAGGTGAGGCTAAGCGACAGGAGGGCACCTTGTTGCCTAGTCATCTTGGCGATGGATTTTTTTTTTAAGTAAAATACATATATCCTAGGTTCCATAACCATATTTCCTTAATAATTATCCATAGTTGTTATAATAATAGTATAAACTTCATTTTTTTTTGATCAATAACTGAAACTCATTAGATTAAAAGAATTTAGTTACAACGCTCCAAAGAGAGATAAACAAGCTTAACTCTCTCTAGGAAGATAACAAAAAAGAAAAAAGTTACAGAACAGCCTAAAAGTATAAACTTCATTTTAAAGTATAGAAAACCAACATATTCATAAGAAAAAGAAGAAAAAAAAAGAAAAATTCAAAAAGTATTGGGGCTGAACCCCTATTATTTTATAGGAAAAGAAGAAAAGAAAAAGTGATATAATGTGTTGATTAGACAAAATTGTAAGCTCTTCCTTATTGTTTCAGGTTTTGAAGTCTTTGAGGGTTAAATACAGCATTTAACAATGCTTGTGTTTGATTAAACCTTAACAAATAAGAAAATAATAAAGAAAATTAGTATATAAACACACAAAATGAATATTTTAGTTTAATAATGTCTATTTCATAATTATAATCTCAACAAGTTAAGAATATGAAAGTATTTTATAACACAATGTATAAAACTGCTTGGCGATTAGGCGAGGCGAGCCTCTAAGGGAACCTTGTCGCCTAGGTGCTGCCTAGGCATCGCCTTGACAACTATGCTTTGATGTAGAGAGATAGTTGATAAATATCCTCACTCTTGAGGGAATCTATTAGTCCATTAATGTCTTGAAGGGCGCGGTTTAATGAGAAGTTGAATTTATAAGTAAAAGTATTGATATTAGTTCCAATAAATTAACAAATTTTTATGAAGCCAAAACCTTTGCAGTTTCTTTGGGTTCAAGGGGTTTGAGGTATTTGTTAGGCATCAAAAACTCCCTTGGCCAAGAGAGTGTGGTATGTCTTAGGGAATGTTCCAAAGAATATTCCTTGTTCAGTGTGTTTTGTGCCACATTTATATGGAAACTTAGTTTTCTAAATTTCTAATTGGGTTTATAAAAATTTGGGATGCACCGTGACATGAGAATGGTGTGATTTAATTGAACAAAGAAAGGGAGGGTGTTAGTTGCAGTTGCAGTGGATTAGTTAGAAAAGAAAGAGAGCAAGAGAAGAAAAGAAACAATAAAAGGGCCAAAAGTAATTGGTGCCTGATAACTCTATCATTGTTTATTACTATTTATAATCTTCCATAGACATAAGTTAGAAGAAAAGAAAATAAGAGAGAAAGAGTTTGAGGGCACAATCAATCAGTGGGTGGCACCCTCTCTTATTATTAGAGGTTCATGGGTCAGAGTTTCAATCGTGGTCAAATCGGAGGTTGAACTATGATGACGTAATTTTTATATATACACATATAAATTGTGAAATACTATATGTAATATATTTTACAAATAAATAATAGTGTAGTTGAATGTGGTGGATAGATGGCTTGTTCCTTATTTTTTAAAGCAAATGACTAGGGTTCAAGCCTCTTTAACTTTTATTTCTTTAAATTACATATGTATTAAAGCAATGTACACATTAAAGAGGCATAAATAAGCATGAATAAAGGAATAGCTTAACATAACAAGACATTGTACATGAATAAAAGGTTGGGCGGTTCAAATCTTTCCATTAACATTTTGAAAATTCCATCATTTAGTGACCTGGGCAGTTATATAAAACTGGGACTGGTTCACTAGTTCTCTGGTTAAACCCGTTGGCCAGCCGGTTTTGATCGGTTTTTAATGAATTCTGGTTCTTAGAGTGTGACCAAACTGGCAGGGGCATGAGTGATGGTTCAATTGGTCTGATCGGCCGGTTCCCTCCAATTTCCTAAACATTGATTATACTCCCCCTCAAGTTGGGCTATATATAGTGCATTCCCAACTTGTTAAATAACTCAGTATGGTGTGGGGTGTTCATGCTCTTAGTAAATACACCAACAAATTGATTTTTGGAGCCAACATAAGATAAACATATTTCACCCCTTTCAGGCTTTTTTACTTCTTATAACTTTTATATGCTGAATTGGGTTGTGAGCAATGTTTATAGAAGCCTTCATGTCACAATACAATGACATGGGAGATGTCATAGGAAAGCCTAACTCAATCTATAGATTCCTCAACCAGAAGATTTACTGACCCTATAGTTGGCTTCAACACTATTTCTCACCACAACTACTTGCTTCTTACTTCTCCAAGTAACTAAATTAACAGTAGTGGGCCTTCTATCAATAAAGGATCAGGCTCAGTCAGCATTAGTATATTTCTATACATGAGGATGTCCATGCTTGTAGAAAATCAATCCTCTTCTTGGGTGTTTCTTTAAGTACCTAAGTACATGGTCTGCAACAGCTAGATGAGTTGTTGTAGGGGAATGCATATATTAGCTTACAAAACCCACTACATAAGCAATGTCCAGTCTATTTTTTTTTGATCAGTAATAGGAGAATTTCATTAATTATGCAAAAAGATACAATGGAGCACCACGGAGAGAGATAAACTCTCTTAACTATCTCCTAGGTGATAGCTGATTACACAAGTTACAACACTGCCCAGAAAAGTTGATCCCTTTCCACCCCTTGTTTTGCCAAAGCATCAGTAAAAACATTTGCACTCCTTTTTTCCCACTGCAGCTTAAACTCTATATTTTGTGTTATACAATTGAATTCTTTTTTCATGAACAAAGTTCCACCATCCAATCTCCTCTTTTTGCAGCCAATTCACTACCAACTTTGAATCCCCTTCATTGATCAACCTACTAATGTGCACAGCTCCTTTGCTTTTTAAATTTCTTCCATCATGGCCAAGATTTCCACCCTCGGTGAATCAATGACCCACCTCTATTGGGCCCGAGTAGAGTGCAATAATTCTTCCCTCATTCCGGAGAACACCTCCAATGCTTGGAAGGACCTGAATTCCCCTCGTTACCACTAAAATTCAACTTAATAAATCCCCAAGGAGGTGAGGACCAGGTCGGCCTGGTGACAATTTGTGGAAATACCTTCAAAAATGCTCAAAGATTTAACCCATTGGACCACTCTGGTGGTAATAGTTTCAATGATCGCTTCTCTACTCCTTCCTTATCTGAAAAGACTCTTTGGTTCCTTTCTTCCTGTTGAAATAGTTTATTTTATGTCTTATTTATTATTTTCTGTCTTGTTAGGGTCTGTTTAGTTGTTTTAAAGTCTTTTTTATTTTCTGTTATTGTACTTTACTTACAGAAGGGGCATAAGGGTCTTTTCCCTTTTATTTTAGACGCCCTATAAATATTAATAGAAGCTGGTGCCGCCAGCACTATTCCATTGTCACCAATCTCTCCTCTTCTCTTCTATCTTCTCTCTTCTTCTTCTCTTCTCTTTCTCTCTTGTTTCTAGTCGGTCATATTGTCAAGATGGTATCAGAGCAGGATTATTGACTGTGAGAGCAGATCGAACAAGTTTTCTTTCCTCTCAACTTGCTGAATCTGGGTGGAACAGAGAACTGAATCTGGGCTGATCAAAACTGATCTACGACTGGTACAGTCCTTTTTTTTTTCTCTTTTTCCTTCCTTGGTCGTGTACCAAGAGAATAAAACGAATGAATCTGAACTACTGAATGTTGTCAGACCTTTGTGAGGTTTATACCTCTTCTGTTTTGGAACGTGTGATCCTGTACCTGTGAAAAGGAGACTGTAGGTCACGGATGACCTGTTTTCTCTAGTTTTTTGGCTTGATTACAAGTGTGTAAGGATCTCTCCTGATGATCAATGTTCTTAGACCTTCTGCAAAGTTAGTAGGTTGGGACTTTTAAACCGTACAGGTCTGAAAATCAGTTTGATCTTGCCTTGTTTTTCTGGAAACTGGTGCTGTTTTTTTGTGCTCAGATTGAGTCCAAACCGAAGTGTGTGTGTGGACTGATTACTTGTGTGTGGACCAATTTATTTTCTGGTGTAAGGAGGGATCCTAAGTTGAGTGTTGAGACTGAAATTCTGTTTTGACCATGTCCTCTAGAATTCTGCTACTTCGGGGGTTTCAGGAAGTCAAAATGGAGTGAGTGGGGGAATGGATATGAGTTTCCCCATGGTTGTAATTCCCTTCGATGGACTAAACTACCTTGAATGGTCTAGGGGAATAAAACTCTACATCATTGCTAGGGGGAAAATATGATACATCAATGGGAAAGTGAAGGAACCGAAGAATGCAAGTGCTGAATATGATAGGTGGAACCAAGAAAATAGTATGGTGATGTCATGACTCTTGGTTTCCATGCTGCCACAGGTAAGAAAGACATTCATGTGGGCTGAAACAACTTATGAAATATGGGAACAAGCAAAATCCACCTATTCAAGCAAAGTTACATGTCAAGATATACCAACTGCAAGCTGAATCCTCTACTTGCAAGCAGGGGGAGAGGAGTCTCTCAGTGTACTACTCAGATCTGATATCGATCTAGAAAGAATTGGATCACTATCAAAATGTGAATTAGAAGTGTGATGAAGATGCAAAGGCGTACAAGTTACTTGTCTCTCAACAACGGGTATTTGCTTTTCTCTTGGGGTTGAACCCTTCATATGAGTCCATTAGGGTGCAGATCTTGGGAAGTAAAGACTTGCCATCAGTTCAGGAGGTTTATGCCTTCGTCCAGTCAGAAGAGAGTAGAAGAAGTGTGAT